GTGAGACGCGGGGACCCGAACGGGGGGGGGAACCGGGGGCAGTGGCAGTAGGGGGGGCTGCTGGTGCGGCCGCTGGTGCTGCTGCTGCTGCTGCTGCTGCTGCGGCTGCGGCTGCTGCTGCTGCTGCGGCTGCTGCTGCGGCGCACGCGGGCCAGTGTGAAGAGTGTAGAGACCCGAGCCCGGCTCAGCAGTAAAGGTAGCAAGAGGCTGGTAAGAGTCTCCGTCAACACACACCGCAGTCTCTCCAGAAGGCTCAAACCACACACCCACGTGCTGGCTCACGAGGGGTCGCACGCCCACCAAGTTCCGGGAGAACGAGGGGACGTGAAACCCAGTGAGAGACCCGGAGGGAGCAGCAGGACACGGTAAAGTGGTAGTGTGACGTGCAGTGACTGGTCCCGTAGTGGGATCAGCCAACGCTACAGAAACAGGCGCAGGAAGTGGTGTAAGTGTCGTGCTGTCCCGAAAGAAGCAGTGGGAGGCTCCAGAGTCCAGTGTGAACGACAGCGAAGCGTCCTCTGAGGTAGTCGCTGGTCTAGAGTCTACACAAGTACCTACACTAGCAACAGGCAACTCAGCAAGACTAGCACCTAAGCTAACAACACCAGAGTAAACAGAGTCAGAAACACTAGAGTCAACAACAGCATACATAGCATGAGGAGCACTAATCAGATCAACTAACTGCTCAGCAGACATGCCCCACAGAGCGGAGCCGTAGCGCTGAACCAGAGGAAGCCAGTCAGGAGCAGGACCGCCAACCCCGTAGGTCAACCGGACCGTGTCAGTGAGCTGAGCAAAGCACTGACCAGGGGGGTGAAAGCGGCCACAAGGGTGGCCCCGACGAGGACCTGTCTGAACCTGGTAGGGGCAGGGAGGGTAAGCAGCACCGCGCTGAGGCTGACGCAGCCCCGACCCCGGAGCCAGCTGCTGACGCTGCTGCTGCTGAGGCTGCTGGGAGGAAAGGGGCTGCTGCTGCTGCTGAAGGTGCTGCTGACGCTGAGCCTGGTACCACGCCGCTGCTCCACCTAGCGGGGCCGACAGTACAGGAGGCGACTGACGAGCTCGAGGGTCGCTGCCACCAGCAGGTGCAGTGGAGTCACCGGCCGCTGCACGAGGGGTCTCTCCAGACGCTGCACTCCCACCACCGCCAGTCGCAACAGCACCCCCACTACCTCCGCTACCTCCGCCTCCACCTCCACCGGAACCACCTTTCTTGCCCCCCCTGCCGCGGGACCGCGACGCAGTCGTAACAGCAGCCGCAGTCGCGTCAGTAGCGGCAGTGGCAAGAGAGGCAGTGAAGGTGGGTAACTGCGGGACTGTGCACCCGTGGAAGAGTGGGGGGGACACAGTACCAGAGGCGGCAGCTACCGAACGAAGGTTGCTCTCGACGTCCTTCAGTGCAGACTCAAGGACCTCGATAGTCAGCTCACTAGGGTGCTTCAGCAGAAGCGCGTCACGAACGGAGGCAAGGCGGTCAGGGAGGCTAGTGGCGATGAAATAGACAGTAATCGCCAAGGGGGGAGGAAGCAGTGCAAGCTGTGCCTCAGTGCAAGCAGCGCGGTAACTAGCGTCGAGCGAGCGGAGGTGAGCGATCAAGTCAGCAGAGCGCTCAAACGAGGCAAGATCAGGAAACAGGAACGGGAGGAAAAGACGGCCGAGAGAGACAGTAGCGGGAGTAGAGTAGCGGGCCTTAATCGCAGTGAGGTACGCAGCAGCGGTGCGAACCTGAGTAAAGTGGACCTCCTCGGACTCAGGGAGGAGGCTGCTGAGTGCGATGCAGGCCGCAGCGTCACGCGACGTCCAAGCCGTCCGGTCAGCGCGCTGACGGGCAAAGCGAGCCGTAGCAGCATCGTCAGGAGCAGGGCCTAAAGCTGTAGGCTCGGGGGGCTCGGGGAGGTCACCAGTAGCGTGTGACCAGAGGGTCTCGCCCCCCTGGACCTGACTCTCTAACAGACGACGAGCGCGAAGAAGCCAGACGGAAAAGTCAAGGGGTCTACCGTCGGCGTCGAAACGAAGAACTCGCGGAGTCGCCATAGTGAGAACGAACAGGCGAGTAACAACCGGGGGGGGAAGAGGACTCAGTCGCAGCGGAAGAGTGGGCTAGGACGACGGGCCAAGACGTAGGGTAGGGCAACGGGCCAGGGCCTAGGGTAGGGCGACGGGCCAGGGCCTAGGAAGGGCGACAGGCCAGGGCCTAGGGAGGGCGACGCGACGGGGGAAAGGTCAGGGCGACGCGACGGGGCAGGGCGACGCGACGGGACAGGGCGACGCGACGGGGCAGGGCGGCGCGACGGAGCAGGGCGACGGGACAGGGCAGGGCGACGCGACGGGGTAGGGCGACGCGACGGGACAGGGCGACGGGACAGGGCAGGGCGACGCGACGGGACAGGGCAGGGCGACGCGACAGGACAGGGCGACGCGACGGGACAGGGCGACGGGACAGGGCGACGGGACAGGGCGACGCGACGGGACAGGGCGACGGGACGGGGGGGGGTAACAGGCAGGCGCGACGCGACGGGGGGGAACGGGCGCGACGCGACGGGGGGGAACGGGCGCGACGCGACAGGGGGAACGGGCGCGACGCGACGGGGGGAACGGGCGCGACGCGACGGGGGGAACGGGCGCGACGTGACAGGGGGGAACGGGCGTGACGCGACGGGGGGGGAACAGGCGTGACGCGACGGGGGAGATGACGCTAGGCTCGGTACTAGGCGCGGTAACTACGAAACTGGTACGAACGAGAGGTAGGATCAGGCTCGGGAGGTACGAACGGAGAACGGAGGAACGGGATCCCACAGGATCCTAACCTAGCTGATACCATGTCAGAATGAGGAATGAGTGTTGCATTGATGTTGGTTGGGGTACATATGACAAACCCTAACTTCTGTACCCCCTAAGACAAACCTCACTACAGGCTACAACATTTGACAGCCATGGTCCCCCACTCCACCAACAAACGATCGGTACAAGGAGGGAGCAACTCGCATAACCACGTCGACATAGACTGCAACGACCAACACCAACAATCGATGTCACTAGACGTCTCCAACAACCGGCTCCGCGATCCACACTTTGCCAACACACGCACATGTCTCAGCAGACCCAATTAAAATGAAGCACGTTGCTTTGCAATAACCAGAAAGCAAGCTTTCTCAATATGATTTTTTTTGAAAGTGTGAAACACTTTCTAAAAATAAAGATTGTGAAAGCGAAGCTGACTGTAGTGAAGCAAGGCAAGTGCGAATGCTTGTTCCCGAGTACATAACGAGGGTTGGAGACCATTTGGCCTCCACCCACGTCTTCATTTCGGAACTTTTCATTTCCGCTTCCCCCCCGCCCGCCCCTAGCTTCTCTGTGTGTAATGTTTAAGTTGGACGAGAATGTTGTAATTACCCAAATAAAATGAAGCACGTTGCCTTGCAATAACCAGAAAGCAAGCTTTCTAAATTGAAGCATTTGAGTTGTATATTGACAGAAATAAGCCTATCTAACATTCATCCACTCTCGATGTTTGGCAGGTGGAGGGAAAATAGTATTGGGTGTTTGGTGGAGAGTTTTTCTGGTGATCCTTGACGTCGTCAACGTCAACGCTTCAACTTTTTCCATTCACGATCAACCAACAGACCCACCCACTGAACCATGCTTCAGCTTCTTGTTAGGAGGCACTCTTCGTCGTGCCGTGTCTCGGCATCAGAAGCACATAATTTTGCAACCTTTCAAGAACACTGCACGAGCCTGCGACCCCAACCCTCTACTTCTCGCTTTATTCCTTTCCACCACTCCGCCTATGCCATAACCAGAGAGCATGCGCATCTTATTTCAGCTCTCCGTGGGGGGGGTTTCGTCACCTGCTTTCCCGACGTAACCTTCCGTGAAACATCCCAGTCTTCGCTTCGCAAACGCAATATTTCACTCGAAACCGTCCATCGCGGCCTGGCCTCTTCGTCCAACTGCCGCCGATCTGACCGACCATTAAAAAAATGATCAGTCGATCCTCGTCAGCGGGATCGTTCACACTCGATACGCGTTATGGCAAGTCGAAGCGCTTCGCAGACTTAAAGCTGTCCACCTGCGCCTCGTGGTTCATCGCCGTTCTCTGCGGCTTCCTCCTAATCTGGCGCCTCGTCTCGCCCCGCTGCAACTGCCCGCCGCAACCCATTCCCATTCCCGTACCCGCTCCAGCTGCCCCGTTACCCGGTACAATAACAGGCGGTTTTCGAATCTTAGATCCTGGCGAGCCCGTAGACCCGTATGTAGTTCAAAAATTCGGTCCGGAGATTTGCAACAGGAAGCGCTACCCGCCAACGCAGGCGTTACAGGCCGACTCGGTGACCATCTTAATTAACGGCTACGCCGAAGCGCGAATCCCGCTGCTCCAGGAGACCCTGCAGATTTACGCGGAGAGCCCGTTAGTGGACGCGATTTATGTTCTATGGGGAAACGTATCGTCGCCTTTCTCCGTGGTTGAGGGCGATTTGGGGTGGTGGGATGACGGATCGAGCGGAGAAGGAGCGGCAGCGGCGGCGGCGGCGGCGATTGAACGAGCCGAAAAAATCGCCACGCAGGAAAAAGAGGACGGCATTTCAGGCGGAAATCACGGATCGGGCGGAGGGATCCGCGTGGGCGGTCCGGATTCTAAGATTCACATAGTTCGGCAGCTTTCCGACAGCCTGAACGACCGGTTCCTTCCGCGAAAGTTCATTCGCACGCGAGCGGTGATTATATGCGACGATGACATCACGATCGACGATAAAACGCTTGAGTTCGCGCTCCGGGTTTGGGGGGAGAACGAACAGCGGCTCGTAGGATTCTTCCCGCGCGCGCACGTGTACAGTCTGGAGGAGAAAGCATGGGTGTACACTAAACGCGAAGACCGGTATTCTATCGTTTTAACGAAGCTGTTTATACTGCATGCGGATTATCTTTTTAGGTACACGTGTCACACGCCGGAGGGGGTTAAGGCGTACGTGGATTCGGGGAAGAATTGCGAAGACATCGCGATGAACTTCGTCGTTTCGCAGCGCGCGAAAGTCGGGCCGCTATTGGTGGACGGGAAGCCTCGGGATTGGGGCGACACGCGGAACTCGGAGAAGGAGCTGAGCGACGTGGGGCTGAGCGCGCGCGCGGGACACAAGAAGGACCGCGGCGGGTGCATCGGCGCGTTTCAGCGGCTGTGGGGCGGCATGGAGCTGAGATACAGCTACTCCAAGGCAACTCCGGATGTGAAAGAGATGGTGAGTGGCGCGGATGGGTGGGAGGAGGCTTTTGAGTTGACTCAACAGTCACGAGTCACGATCAGTGGGGCGGTATGGAGTTGAGTTACAGACAGTTACTCCAAGGCGGCGCTAGATGTGAAAGAGTTGGTGAGTTCGTTCACCCGGTCGTCGCAGTGGGGTGGACCACGTACGTGAAAGAGATGGTGAGTTCGGTTTGGTTACATGATCCACCCCACTGTGACGAGACGACTGCGAGCAGGCAGCGAGGGCAGCGGGGCTGCACCGAGTGGTGGTGGAGCAGCGCTACGCCTACACCACGCTCGTCGCCTCTGCTGACCTGCTGCCTGCCGCGCTCTCTCTCACACACGCACGCACACTGCGCTGCCCCTCCCCCTCACCCCTCCTCTCCCGTGTTCAGGAAACTTCCAAAAGCCCACAATTTCCTCCCAACCCCTCTCCTCCACCCTCCCCACTCCCCCTTCCTCCTCCTCCTCCCAGGTTTTTTGTGACAAGTTCGGGTACATGATTCATTGCGACGACCGCGCCTTGACGCGCATGCAGGCAGCAAGAGCAGCGGGGCTGCACCGAGTGGTGGTGGAGCAGCGCTACGCCTACACCACGCTCGTCGCGTCTGCCGACCTGCTGCCTGCTGCGCTGGCCCACGCGCAGTCCCTCAGGCTGACGGGCACGGCGCATGACCTGGTGCTCATGGTGGATGGGAACGCGCATGACGTGAATGTCAATGACCGGCTGCTGCTGCTGCACTTTGACCACGTGCGGCGCGTGCCGACAGTCACTAACCCGTGAGTAGTGTTGCTCTTTGAGCTGACGGGCACGGCGCATGACCTGGTGCTCATGGTGGATGGCAACACAAATGACGTGAATGTTAATGACCGATTTCTGCTGCTGCTGCTGCTGCTGCTGCTGCTGCACTTCGACCGCGTGCGGCGAGTTCCCACTGTGGCCAACCCACGAGTGCCCCTCTGATAGGGCGTGTGGTGTGAGGCTGAGGGGTGTGCGCAGGGGGTTCAAAGGACATGCCATGCTCTAGCCTCTGCAGAGCTTCTGCCTGCTGCGCTGGCGCAAGGGAACTGGACGGGGCGATTGCTGAGGCTGACGGGGATCAGACAGGGCACTAACTGTGGCTGGCAGGCGGGCGCAGCACGGATGACAGAGTATGACAAGGTGCCCGTGCCCGCCCTCACCTGACAGGCACGTGGGTGGTGTATATCGTCGTGGGCTGGGCACCCTTGTGCTTGAGGAGACATTTGAGTCGACTCAAAAGTCACCTCGTTACTATGGCACACGACAGTGTATGACAAGGTGCTCGTGCCCGCCCTGACAGGCGCGTGGGTGGTGTATATCGTCGTGGGCTGGGCACCCTTGTGCTTGAGTATGACAGAGTATGACAAACTGGCCACAACGATATACAAACTGGACTATCTCTTCGACGGGGCCCTAGCCCGCCCCACCTGCCTAACCTTCCTCTCCTTCCCCTCCTTCCTTGTCCCCCCACTTTCCCCCTTTTTCCACCCTTTCCCCACCTGCCCCATTACCGAACAAAAGGTACGGAGTGAAGGGTTTCTCAAAGCTGAACGCGTGGCAGATGACTGAGGACACACACACTCAGGCCGAGGGTACGACAAGGTGGTCTACATTGACGTCGACACGCTCGTCCTCTCATGCACCGTCATCTCCACCCGCCTTCTCCCCCTCTCTCCCTGTACACTGAAACAACAGATACGGAGTAAAAGGCTTCTCGAAGCTCAATGCGTGGCAGAATACGGAATACGACAAGGTGGTCTACATCGACGTGGACATGCTCGTGCTCGCCAACCTGGACCACCTCTTTGAACGCCCTGAACCCCACCTGCCCAACCTTCCTCCCTCCCCTCCCTTTTCCCCTTTCCGCCCATCTCTTCCCCCTTTCCCCTTGGAACAACAGGTACGGCGTGAAAGGCTTCTCGAAGCTCAACGCGTGGCAGATGACGGAATACGACAAGGTGGTCTACATCGATGTGGATACGCTCGTGCTCGCCAACCTGGACCACCTCTTTGAACGCCCCGAGCCCACCGCCGTGCCCGACGTGTACATGAGCAGCAAGTTCAACAGCGGACTGCTCGTGCTCAAGCCGTCCCATGTGAGTCTCTCTCTGGTGGCAAAACAGGTATGGAGGTACGTAGGAACCTTGGTCAATGCACAGCAACAGAGCCCACCGCCGTGCCGGATGTGTACATGAGCAGCAAGTTCAACAGCAGACTGCTCGTGCTCAAGCTGTTCCATGTGAGCAACCACAAAGACTGTCAGCAACCCCTATCCCCTACACCAAATGATTCGATAGTAGCATCCACAGGTACTACAAAGCATAAGTCTGTCTTCTTATCTTCCCCCCATCCCCCCTATCGCTCCTCCACCCTCCCCCCCTAACCCCTGCCGCCTCCTCTCACCCTGTCCCCCATACATGGAATCATTTCAGCCCTCATACAGCGACTTGTTGAGACGTCTCAAAAGCGTTGAGCAAGAGCACCGGCTGAGCAAGAGCACCGGCTGAGCAAGAGCACCGGCTGAGCAAGCCTCATACAGCGACTTGTTGAAGAGCACCGGCTGCCGTCCTACAGCCAATAAGATCAAGGCTTCTTCAGCGCCCACTTCTTACACTTGTTCCCCTCGCCTCCCCCTTCCTCCCCCTTCCTTCCTCTCCCATCCTCCCCCTTCCTTCCTCTCCCATCCTCCCCCCTCTATTCCCCCCCCTCCCCCCCACCAGTCCACATACGCTGACATGATGAGCAGGATGCACCGCCTGCCGTCCTACAACAAGGGCGACCAGGGCTTCCTCAACGCATACTTCTCCGGCTGGTTCCACATGCCGCCCGCGCACCGCCTCGCCGCCCGGTACAACGACGTCATCTTCTTCCCCGACCACTACCACCCGCCGCCCTGGTTCCGCTTGGCTTCTACTCGACACACTTTTGAGGCGCCTCAAAAGACTTCCCCGACCACTACCACCCGCCTACTTCTCACATTCTTGTTTTCCTGTCTGTGCTCCCCCCTTCTCCCCCCCCCCCACCAGTCCACATATGCTGACATGATGAGCAAGATGCACCACCTCCCCTCCTACAACAAGGGAGATCAAGGCTTTCTCAATGCATACTTTTCCGGCTGGTTCCACATGCCGCCCGCGCACCGCCTCGCCGCCCGGTACAACGCCGTCATCTTCTTCCCGGACCACTACCACCCGCCGCCCTGGTTCCGCGTCGAAGCCGCCCACGAGGCCCTCAACGGACCAATCATGATGATCCATTTCGCCAACCCCTGGTTCAAGCCGTGGCGGCTCGGGACGCAGGAGGGGGGGGTGGTGGGGATACACGGGGAAGGGGGAAGCGGGGGAGGCGGAGGAGGGGGAGGGGGAGGGGGAGGGGGAGGGGGAGGGGGAGGGGGAGCAGCAGGTGGGGGGAGTTTGTCGTCTGCGTTGTCGTCGACTTTAGCGTCGTCTCTCACATCGGGTCAGAGCGGGGTGAGCCGAGAGGCAGTAGAGGCTGCCGCAGCAGCAACTTTACAGGCGGTAGCAGCAGGAGGGAGCGTGAACGGCAGTGCAGGAGCAGCAGGAGCTGCTAGTGGGGTGATCGAAGGCGGAGCAGGAGGAGCAGGAGGGGCAGGAGGGGTGGTGGTAGCAGCAGACGGCGGCCCACAGGTCAAGGTGAACCTCTGGTGCTCGCTCTGGCTGTACCTCGCTCACGCACTGGAGGAAAACGACTGGTACCCGCTCGACCCCACGTCCATCTCCCTCACGCACTTCCTCCCCAACCGTGCTCAGTACGACTCCCTCCTCCCCGCCCACGCTAAGGCTCGCTCCGCTTCCGCCGCCGCCGCCGAAGCAGCCGCAGCCGCGGGAGCAGCAGCAGCGCAGACTGCATCTGCTGCGTTTCCATCCACGCCAGCTCTGCTCTCCTCGCCGGTGTCCCACGAGCCGGTGATTCCCGGCCGGCCCACTTACATCGGACGAGAGGGCTTCGTCACTCTCATCACTAAAGATAATTACTTTGCGGCGGGCGTCTGGGCCGCGTCGTACCTGCAGCACCACTCCTTCTCCTCCTTCCGGAAGATTCTCCTCCTCGTGCTGTCCACGGTCCCCAGAGACCACTGGCAGCCGTACCGCAAGCTCTTCAACTACGTCCGCGTGGTTGACCCAATAGTGGTCAACGGGCGGCAGCTGGACGATGCCTTCGCGGTGCTGCACGCGTGGAACCAGAAGGGGTTTGACAAGCTTGTGTACGTCGATCCGGTGGCGCTTTTCGTTGATAACTGCAACGAGCTAGTTACCAGTTACGACGCGTTCGCCGCCCCGCCGAGCGTGTTCCCTCCGGACATGTTTACCTCCCGAGTGATGGTTCTCCAACCCAACTCCACCACATTCGAAGACATGGTGGCGAAACTCCCGGTTTTACCCTACCCGGAAGGGTCGGTGGACCGGTTTTTGAACGCGTATTACTACGGGTGGTTCTCGTGGGCGCCTGCGCACCGCATCCCGCCGTCGTTTGCGGTGGACATGTGGTTCAAGGAGGGGTTGATGAAGTTCTTTGTGCCGTGGCGGATTGTGATGTTTGACTCGCGGGCGGTGCCGTGGAGTGATATCAGCGACTGGATGGCGCATGATCGCACCAAGGCTGTGAAGCTGTGGCGACGCACGTTCTGCAGTTTGGAAGACACGTTGAGACCACCTAGTCTGGCGCATTTGTGTGCGGATTTGATATGATTTGGTGCGATGCAGCAGCGTGTTTTGTGGAGCGATATCAGTGACTGGATGGCGCACGACCGCACCTAGCCGTTAGGCTCTGGAGGCGGACCTTCTGCAGTTTGAAAGATACCTTCGAGACTACCAAGTCTGGCTCACCTGTGTGCGGATCTGATATAATGCGCTGCAGGAACTTGGTCTGTGCAGTGGAATGATACTATCAATGACTGGACGGCGCATGATCGCACCAAGGCTGTGAAGCTCTGGAGGCAGACGTTTTGCAGTTTGAAAGATACCTTCGAGACTACCAAGTCTGGCTCACCTGTGTGCGGATCTGATGTAGTGAAGTGGAGTGTTTGTGATGTATGGGTGTGGTGAATGAAGGCGCTTATTTGATAGCTCGTTGACTGGTTCATTATTACTGGCATGTATGCACGATACTGCAGTAAGAAAAAGCAGAAACAAAACTGGAACTGCACTGCCAGTGCGCCATCCGAAAATGATACTCCTGTACATCTGATGCACTGGATTGCTCCCCTTAACAGCATAACGTCACTAGTTCACAAACACTGCCACACTTATACCGGACTCCCCACCCCACCCAAAGCCAAGAGCTGGTGCATTTACACCCCCCTCCCCCCTCTCCCTTCCTACCCAACCTGTCAGATGAAATTATGTTTGAGATGACAATAAAACAGAATCAGGGCAGGGTGGTTGAGGGCGCAAGAAGCATGGGAGTGGCGGGTCGGGCTGAAGCTGCCCCTGGGGGGGGGTTTAAGCCACAGCCGTCATATGCGCTCTCCGCTCTTCGCCCCTTCCACCTCCACCCCTTCTCCTGCCCTGCAGCAGCCACACAGACAGACCTCCCTCTACTGCTCACTGCTCTTCCACTGCCAAGGTCCCACTGACACGCACTGTGTGAAAAGAAACCCGGTCAGGTCCTCTGCTGCAGTCACATGCTGGCATCAGCCCCTGCTGCAGCAGACGCCGCTGCTGCTGCCGCCGCCGCTGCCGCTGCCGCTGCCGTTGCTGCTGCTGCTGCTGCTGCTGCTGCTTCTGCTGCAGCTGCTGCCCCAATCTCAAAGTGAGAAGTTGTGTGACTGCCCGCAGGTGGATGCCTTACCGTGTTACAGTGTCTAGTGCCGCGTCGTGTGGTGCTACGGATCCTGTGTGAGCGACCAATGGGATGACAACGTCGCGAAGGGGCGGCGCTGGGGACTTCTTTTTGAAACCAAACATCTGGAGACCGGAGGAGAGGGAGGTGAGAGAAGAAGGTGAGAGAGGAAGGGAGATGAAAGAGGAAGGTGAGTAAAGAAGTGAGAGAGGAAGGTGAGAGAGGAAGGTGAGGGGGGAATGAGGGAGAGGAAGGCGGGGCAGGGAAGAGGGAGAGGAAGGCGGGAGCGGAAGGCGGGAGGGGAAGGCGGGAAAGGAAGGCGGGAGGGGAAGGCGGGAAAGGAAGGCGGGAGGGGAGGGCGGGAAAGAAAGGCGGGAGGGGAAGGAGATGGAAAAGAGGGAGAGGAAGGTGGAGGAGAAGAGGGGAAAGGGTGTGGGTGGAAGGTTGGGAGGTGGGGAAAGAAAGATGAAAAGGGTTGTGATTTAACAAAAATACAGAGAAGCTATAAGCTGTTGCTAGGATTTCAGATTCTCTGTGAAGCGTCCAAACTGAGCGTACACCTTTCCTGATTCCTAACTGACTGCTGATGCTCCCTGGTACCTTTTCCCCACTGCGCACCTTCCCCAGCGCGCGCTCACTTCCCCAGCGCGCACCTTCCCCAGCACTCACCTTCCCCACTGCTTACCTTCCCCAGCGTGTTCTTAAATCACTCCTTGTGTTCGTCCATCGACGCGCTCATGAACTCGTTCACGTGCTCGCGAATCTTCCCCACTGTCGTGTTCGGCTTCTCCGGCCGCGCGCACCCGCCGCCGCCGCTTCCGGCAGCGCTGCTGCTTTCGGGTTGCGCCGCCGCAGAAGCGGCGGAGTCCGCCATCTGCGGAAATACAAAAGGGATGAAACTACTATACTTAAAGTGGATGGAACTACTTTAGTTGAAACTACTGAATGTCGCGCGGCTTTGTATTAGTGTTCTGGAACTCGATGCCGTGTCGATGCAAATGATTTCTACGCAGGAACAGAGTCGGGATAAAAACCCAATTCTTGAACTATAAAATTCGCCAAGGACAGGGTAACTCGGTCTCGATGAAGTGATTCACCAAGAAGTGATTCAAGCGCGGGGGTTGTTTTCTTGATCCACCTGAACAGACCATGGCCCGTACGTTCTGTTGCGTGTCAGTCATATCAGAACAAGGCCATCAGAAGAGTACGTGTTTCGGCGAACGGACGCGAAAATCTTGTGGGGCAGATAAATCATGCTGCGACAATTCCGGTGACCTACCAGAGTGCAGAAAGAGTGATTCGTGGAACTACTCGCACAACAAAATGGGGCTTCATCAGTAACAGTTGCAACCGCGTGGCACTTCGTGCAGGCAATTTGTACATCGGCGTCTCATACAGTATCGCCGCATATTGTTACCCCATAACAGCAATCTCAGTATGGGAGATTTACGTCCTAACAACTGCTGAGCGGGTCCATGCGTGCTACAAGAGAAAAACGGCCAGCCATGTTTCACTTCCCCGCGATTATTCAGCTACAAGTAATGTCAGATTTAGTGGCGAAATTAACTAGTAACGGGGCACATAGACTCGGAAAGAACAGAGACTGACACCGGTTCCCTGAGACAAGTCTGGGAACTGAGCGCGAAGCCTCCAGGCTCGATTGTTTTATCGCAAGTGGGGATGCCTTCAGCTTCATTGGATCAGTTCTGCAACTTTGGTCGGTGGGTGGGTGAGGGGGGGCAAGAAGAGCTGGGGTGAGGTGGGTTGGAGTAGGCTCAAGTGCGGTGAGGTGGGGTGAATGGGTTGGGAGGGAGGTGTGGGGTTGGTGGAGTGGGCGGGTGCCTGCTTGCTTGTGCAGTGTGGTGTATGGAGGTGGATGCTTGCTCGGCTACAGTACTATTGTACAGGTCGCAACCAAGGTCGCTCGCGGGCCGTGCCACGTCGCAGCCAGCCAAGGCATCTTACGATCTTTTCAGGTCGCAACCGGGAAAGGTTGTTGTGAGCTTTGTCAGGATGGCAAGATGCAGTGACCAGGTAAGTCGCACTTTACCAGTGGTTGAAGCCGGTTCAATGATCGATCGCAGCCGCATCCCAGCACAACTCCTTTCCAAACGACCCACCATCGCCTCACCAGGAGGCCTCCATCGTCGCTACGACCGTGCTTCCTCGTCAGACCTATCCGCTGTCCCCAGCCGCGGCATCATGCCAGAATTCAAAATGTACGAGTTTTTTGGATCAGAGTCGGCCCAAACACATGACGGAGTAGTGCCGCATGGCGACTCGACGATGCATCATGGCCGATCGCTCCAGTCACGTTCGTTTCAGTCGCATTCGCTTCTGCCGTACAACCTTGATTCTCTTCCTTTGCGTGTTCGCGTTCGCTTTACGCACAGCGTGGCTTTCACTTGACAATATCGAGTCCGGATCTGACGCTACTATCGAAGCCTTTAGCAAGAACGATGAATCCGATTTCTCAGCCGCTGATTGGTCGTTCGAGGAATGGATGGGATGCTTTTTCTGGGCCGACAATTCCGAGGAAATGGCGGACGCTCTGGCGTCATCCCAGCCGTTCATCGCCACCGCATCGAGCATCAAGCCCGCATCTGATCCTGGACTGGGTCGAACCAATCCTGAATCCGAACCAGACTTCGAACCTCATGTCGCGCTAGTACAACGAACCTCGGAGGCTCGGACAGACGGATGCGAGAGGTTGCTACGGCTCGTTTCGAACGAGCTGGAATTCGTCGCGGACATCACGGACGCGCAACGAAGAAGGAGTAGAACGTTTCGAGGGAGAGTGAACCTAGAAGCTTCGTCGCAAGACACGTCGAGTTCTGCTCTTGGTAGCGGTAGCAAAAGAAGCTTCGAAACGCCTTCCGATAGTAGCAATTCCGCTAGCAGCAGCTCGCAGTGTCCCCGTGCGTATTCGCGCTACAAGCAGACATATTACAGAGAATTGAACGTCTTCGGCCCTGCTGCTGCTGTGAAAGAAACGAAAGGAAGCAGAGGGGTTGCAGGGGAGAAGAAGGATGGCGTAGGGAGGGCCGTTGACGACTATGAGAGGGAGCTGCGAATGCTGCAGTCGCAGGTAAGCCGTGTGCCATACGCCCTAAGAAATGATTCAGTACTGTTTGACAAGAAGGATGGCATAGTGTTGGCAATCGATGGCTATGAGAGGGCAGCCGAAAAGCCTGCAGTCGCAGGTAAGACATGCCACCGGGGATTTCAGAAGTGCCTCACCGCCTCAATTACAGGTGCCTCAATACGGTTTAAGAAGAAGCACGGTGTAGGGCCGGCTGTGGATGAGATGAGAGGGAGCCAGCCCACATTGCTTTTCTCATTGCTTTCCACGATGCTTTCCCACCATGGCAAGGCACCTTGCCACCTCGCGACGAAAAAAAGTAGCAGTCAATGCAGTCACGGATGCGTTGCCTGTTTGCCACACTCACCGTGAACCTTCCACCTTCTATCTGGAATCCTCAACCCCTCTGGAAACTTCTGCATTAAACCCTGAACCCTGAACCTTGTAGGTGCGTGCTATGACCGGTGCGGTCAAGGGCAAGGCGCTCCTCTCAGTAGAGGCACGACTGCGCCAGCTCATGCAGGCCCGCAAGCAGCGCGAGACGGCGTGGTTTGTCTCGACATGGCGCAGGTCGCATCTGCGTTTGAGAAACGTCACGTGGCCTCCGTCCAATCCGCGGGTTGCTGAGATGGCAGCAGCCAATAGGTTGCCTCCACGCGTGCCTTTCCGGAGTGCTACAAAATCCAAGAAAATGCAAGCGAGGAGTGTCCCTAGCAGCAAGCATCGGAGAGCAAGCAAGGCTTTGTTGGGAGATGATGATGTGTCAGCAGCAGGACGTGATGACGTGGCAGCAGAAGTAAATGGTGACGCAGCACGTGATGAGGTGGCAGCAGTGGGAGATAATGACATCATCATTGTGTTGCTCGTGCACAACCGGCCGGCGTATCTCAACCGCACTCTGGATGCTCTGAGCAAAGTGGACGGCATACAGCACGCCCTGCTTATAGTCAGGTGCGATAAAGAACATGTGTGGTCGTAACACCATCTCCATAAGGGCCTTCTTCTTCTCGTCTTCGTCTGCCCAACCCTTCCCAGCCCTGCTTATAGTCAGGTGCGATAAGCACATGATTTTGTGATGGGATGATGCACGGCATGAGAGAATAGACGGAATATCAGCCTTGTTTTCCTTGGGTAGATTGTGTGTGCTTCATGTTATTTCCAGATGTAGATAGCATGTGCTGCTCACTGCGACGTGAGAGATAGCATGCACAATCTACCCCTCAGTACTGTCGTCATTCTGTGCCGAGAGGAACGTAACTCCAGAGGCGTCTTCGTTTCTTCTCTTGTTCCTCGACCCACCACCTCCCATTGGCTTTTATCCCCACCCCCCATGTCCCCCCATCGTCTCCCATCGACACCGCCCCCCAGTCACGACGACTTCTACCCCCCCTTGCATCGCCTGGTCCACTCACTCAGTCTCCTTCTGCCCTTTCTCTTCCCCTCCTCTCGTTACCCTGCCCATTCCCTTTGCAACCTATCTCTTCTCCTCCCGCCCATTCCCATTCCTATCCTCCCCTTGCACTGCCTGGTCCGTTCATCTCCCAGTCACATCACAACGGCTTCTACCTCCCCTTGCACACTGCCTGGTCCGCTCAGTCTACTTACCCTTTTTCCTTTTCTCCTTCCCATTCCTCCCCCTCTTCCTCTTTCCCTACCCTTAGTCGTTCCGCCCCTTCCCCCCATTCCTAGTCACAATGGTTTCTAACCCCCCATGCATGCACCACACCACCTCATTCGCTCGATCACCTTCTGCCGGGTGAAACAGCTTCACTTCCCTTCCGCACCCCTATATCCCCCTATATCTCCCTATATCCCCCTATATCTCCCTATATCCCCCTATATCTCCCTATATCCCCCTATATCCCCTATATCCCCCTATATCCCCTATATCCCCCTATATCCCCCTATATCCCCCTATATCTCCCTATATCCCCCTATATCTCCCTATATCCCCCTATATCCCCTATATCCCCCTATATCCCCTATATCCCCCTATATCCCCCTATATCCCCCTATATCCCCCTATATCCACCTCCCCCCTCCCCCCTTCCCAGTCACGACGGCTTCTACCCGCCCATGCACGCCCTCATCCGCTCAATCTCCTTCTGCCGGGTGAAAAAGCTCGGTTGCCCCTTCCCTCCCCTCTATCCCCCCTCCCTCCCCCCTTCCCAGTCACGACAGCTTCTACCCGCCCATGCACGCCCTCATCCGCTCCATCTCCTTCTGTCGGGTCAAGCAGCTCTACTTCCTCTTCTCCCCTTTCCTTTGTCCTTTCTCATTCTCCCCTTCCCCTCCACCCTCCCAGTCACGACGGCTTCTACCCGCCCATGCACGCCCTCGTCCGCTCCATCTCCTTCTGCCGGGTGAATCAGTCAACTCTACTTTCCCTCCCCTGCCCCTGTACTCCCTACCATCCTTCCCATTCTCTTTCCTTCCCTTCCCTTGTTCCCATCCCCTCTTCCCAGTCACGACGGCTTCTACCCGCCCATGCATGCACTCGTCCGCTCCATCTCCTTCTGCCGGGTCAAGCAGCTCTACTTTCCCTTCCCTCCCCTCTACCCCCCTGCCCACTTCCTATTCCCCTCCCCTCCCCCTTCCCAGTCACGACGGCTTCTACCCGCCCATGCATGCACTCGTCCGCTCCATCTCCTTCTGCCGGGTCAAGCAGCTCTACTTCCCCTTCTCGCCGCACCTCTTCAACGGAACCTTCCCGGCAGCTTCCGCGGACGACTGCCGCGGCAAGTCAAGGCGACCCTGGGAGACCAAAGCAGGGGGAGCTGAGCGGTGGGAGCAGTGGCTGAGTAAAATTTCAAGACAAGGCGTGCGTAAAAAGGGCATGGCAGGAGGAGGGGTTGGTGGGCTCAGCAATGGGCTCAGCAATGGTGTGAGCGAGAAGGAGAGGGTGGGGGAGGGGGAGAGAGTGGGGGAGGGGGAGAGAGTGGGGGAGGGGGAGAGAGTGGGGGAGGGGGAGAGAGTGGGGGAGGGGGAGAGAGTGGGGAAGGGGGAGAGAGTGGGGAAGGGGGAGAGAGTGGGGGATGGGATGCCGTGTTGGGGCCAAGCAGATGAATTCGGCTCGTACCGCGACCCAAGATTTGTCTCCCTTAAGGTGCATGTGGGACTGTGTCAATCAGTCCAATCCCCCACCTGTCCGCTTCCCAGACCACCTACCTCTACACCTCTACACCTCTCACAACTCCACCTCTGCACACCCAGCTATCCCCCTACCCGCCTCCCCTCTACTTCCTTCCCCCCGTATCCCCGTTTTCTCATCTTCACGTTTCCCTTCTGCTTCCGCTCTATCCGCCCATTCACCTCGTCCCAGCACCACTATGTTGCAGAGTATTTTTGAGAATTCTCAAACATACTCCGCTCTCTCCGCCCATTCACCTCGTCCCAGCACCACTATGTTGCAGAGTATTTTTGAGAATTCTCAAAAATACTCTGCTCTCTCCGCCCATTCACCTCGTCCCAGCACCACTATGTTGCAGAGTATTTTTGAGAATTCTCAAAAATACTCCGCTCTCTCCGCCCATTCACCTTGTCCCAGCACCACTATGTTGCGAAGTATTTTTGAGAATTCTCAAAAATACTCCGCTATCTCCGCCCATTAACCTCGTCCCAGCACCACTGCTGGTGGGTGGAGAACACAGTGTGGGATGGGACGGCCTGCCAGAGACCAAGTTTCCCAACGCATCTCTAAAAGTGGGTGCGCCACTGTATTGGGCCCCCTGGGAATACAGTGTGAGGGAGACCAAGTTTCCCAGCGGGTGCGCCACTGTATTGTCCCCCCTCCCCCTCCCCATCTCCATCCCCCTCCCTTCCCCTCTTGCCTTCTGCACCTCCAGACATCCCCTCCCGCGCAGCACCACTGGTGGTGGGTGCAGAACACGGTGTGGGACAGGCTCCCAGAGACCAAGGCATTCAACGGCCACATGCTCTTTATACAGAGAGACTACTGACTTCCCCAACATCTCTATTCCCTCCCACCCACCAACCCCTTATGCCTCCCCCTCCTCCTCCCCTCATCGTCCAATTTTCCCTTCCTGCCTTTGCCTCCCACTGAAACCCCTCCCATGCAGCACCACTGGTGGTGGGTGCAGAACACGGTGTGGGACGGGCTCCCAGAGACCAAGGCGTTCAACGGCCACATGCTCTTTATAGAGGAGGACCACTGGCTCTTCCCCAACGCACTTACCCACCTCCGCGCTTTGCTAAGTGCCAAGCAGCGCAGGCGCTGCAACGAGTGCATCATTGTGGGCCTCGCCCCTGCTGATGTGGGGGTGGTGGAGGATGAGGAGGAGGGTGCGGTGGAGAGGAGGGGAGTGAAGGTTGTTAAGGCGCCCTCAAACGCTTTTGCTTCCTCAAACGCAGAGCGAGCAGAGCGGGAGGTGGAGGATTGGCAAAGGGTCGTGGCTGGAGCGAGGGGATTGAGGCTGTCGATCAGAAGATTCGAGGGGAATGCGGTAGAGAAGGGTGGAGTTTTGAGGCGGATTGGGCACTTCACGGCGGAGAGGCTGGGCAACGTGGGTTACAGCTTCAACCGCAGTGTGTGGGCGATGATGCATTCCCTGGCAGAGGTAGGGTGGTGGGTGTATGGAGTATGAGATATGTTGTTCCACAGGTGGGGTACGACTGTGTGTGTGGGATGGACAACGTGGGTTACAGCTTCAACCGGAGTGTGTGGGCGATGTTGCATTCCCTGGCAGAGGAAGGGTGGTGGGTGTATGGAGTATGAGATACGTTGTTCCACAGGTTGGGTGCAACGCAGGGCTATGGGATCGGCAATGTGAGGTACGCTGTCCACGTCCCTCCTGCATCCCTCTTTCATCCAACTTACTGTCTATCCTCTGGTTAACTGAATTTGTAAAGGTCTCAAATATTTTACTCAGCTTACTGTGCATCCTCCCTTTGGTCAGTTGAGTTTTGAAACGCAAAATTCTGAGACATCTCAACTCTTGCATCCAACTTACTGACTTCCTCTGCTTTTGCGTCAGCCAATAATACCGTTGTGCACCTTTCTCTACGTAATCACCGTCTGTGACTCTGCTTCTATACCTCCCCTGGTCTTTCATGGCTGTCAGGAGTTTTGCTACATGGACGATTACAACTGGGACAGGTCCATGTGGGAGCTCATCTCCCACCACATACCATCCGCTCGCATGCTGAGGTGGCACCGTGCCAGTGCATGGCACTTTGGCGAGTACGGACTACATGGGGATGGCTATGGGGTTGGGGAATTGATTGAAATGGGGAGTGGGGATGGGGATACAAGCAGGAATGGGAGTGGATTTCCACGATCTCCTTGTGCAGGTGGATCCGTTGAAGTGTTTAGTCTAACAGAGCAAGACAAGAAGAATTCAATCGATAAAGATGCGCATCTGGTTATTTTGCCAGTGTACTCGGCGCCGGTTGTAATGGGGGATGGTGGTTGGGGTGATGGTAGGGATATTGCACTCTGCTTAGAGATAGCAAGCATGTATTTCTAGTACATGCTACTAACAAATCTGTATTGAATCTCACTCATTCACGTTTCATTGGGTGGGACCCCGTTTGAAGCATTTCTTCACCTTTCGAGGTGCCTGCCCATGTGTGTGCTTTGGGCAGACCGTCACAGCAGGGCTCCAGCGAGCGACAGATGTAGTGTACAATCAAATTTGCATCTGCAACTGTTGGCCAGCACACCTCAGGTAGGAACCTCTCGGAACCAATAAGCGAACAGCTAAGAATTCTGTCACGTGATTCAGGAGCAATTTGACTGGACATCACGTGACGCATATGCCCTCACACCAACCGCCCCGGGTCAGGATCTTTTGTCCATCGCTGGTGGGCTGTAGATATTTTCTGTGAGCTGGATGCTGTGCACTTTTCGGGGTCCTAAAAGCGAAAAAGGCAAACCTCACATGCTTCCGCCAACCAGCCTCATCCGTGCGGCAATCCCTAAGTTCGCTGCCATGCCTACTTATGTTTCGTGCTCTCCCTCCCTGACCACGGGACCGAGCCTGGTTCACGGACCCGCATCCCTCTCAAATCCCTTCCCTACCACCACCCGCGCCACTCACACGTACACGTAGCTATGGCATGCTATGCCATGCCATATACCATACCGAACCAGCCACAGCAGCCAAACCTGCTCCTCCTGCTCCAAGGTTGTACTGAGACTTCGTGAGACTGCTGCTCCAAGGAATATGCTAGAAGCAAGCAAACCCCAGGTCTACTGGAGGAACCATCTTGGTTGGAACTTGGAACCCTAGGCTGCCAGCCGATTAAGTAGCAATTGCGCAAGGCTTCCCGTCTTCATTCGTAGTTTCTTTTCGCGATAAAGTTGTTTGTCTAAATTAGGGTTATCGGTTGAAAATTAGTTATTGCGCTCACGTGCGGAGTGAACGAAGTTGGTGCTCCTGATGTGGAGAGTGGTTGCCAGGGGGATAATTTTTGCTGAGAAATCATTTCAATCTGTGGTGTGCGTTGCCAGAGCCGTTTCGACTCACTATGCTGGCCGCGAGCTCGCTTAAGGACTTCTTGTCAGCAGACCTTAGATCATCTCCTAGATTCAGTCAGTGTTTCCGCCATGGATCCTTCCACTCCAGTGCAAGATGGGGTTCTCACGACAGGCGGTGGGGGATCGGGAGGGGCTGCAGCAGCCGGGGGAATGCCGCTAATATCGCCGTCGGACGTTCACGTGTTAGTGGTGGACGACGAAAGGCTCTCGCGACTAGTCGTCGGAAATCAGTTCCGAAGATGTGGTTATCAAGGTGACAAATTGCTTGCTGCTAAAGTATCCAGCTCTGGATTCGGACTGGAGAGCTTAGTTAGTCTTTTCATTGCGTGATGAGAGCTACATCTCGCAATCAGGGCCAACGGTGGCTAGAAAGTTCAACTGCACGATAGGAGAGTTAAGAACGCGACAGGAGATCGAAGAAGCAGTAGGGAGAGTTAAGAGCGAGCGTCTAGAGTAAAGCGGAAGCTAGTAGGCTGGCCAAGCGGAGTAGAAGCTGGCGCTGAATGACCGTCTTGAGCTGCCAGGAAGCGACAGCAGAGTAATTAATTTTTGAATTCTACGAATTTGACGGCGCCGATGCTCGTGCGACGCAATTCTGGCATCGGAGATCCCCGCAAGTCCTTTGTTTCGTACGAACGGAACGGGTGGCGTCACGGACTCTTACACTGTCACTGCGTCTTCAAGTCGTTTCTCAACTCTCGAGAACCGTAGACTAGTGTTACGATGATGTATAGTTGATACAGTGAATCTAGTGGGTGCGATAGTCTGTCAGAAGACATGATTCTTGCGACTGGAGAGGCGTTTCCGGGGCTTCACTCATCGTTCCAACCATCCGTTCGTTGCTGCCGATTGTCGATTGTCGCATGAGTTGACCGACTCGGTTACCGTACGAGGGATATCATGCTGTAGCAATCGTGTTCCCATCAATCTGACGGTATTCCCGGTGTGTCTTGTGATGCACAGTGACGGTGGCGGATGGAGGGATGGAGGCCCTCCGGGTGCTGCAGGAGAGGCCAGACGGATTCAATCTCATCCTCGTTGTAAGCTTTGCAAATTCCACAGATTTTCTGTCCGATTCAGTTCCACTTGTCTGGTTTGTACGTCTCAGTCGTGGAATTTCTCAGCGCTCGCGGATGGTTACCTGCTCTAGCGGCGCTCTCGGTTTCTTCTTCTGTTATTTTCTGTTGCTGACTGCCGTCAGCCCTGTGCTGTTCGACGCCATGCGATGCTATACGGCGCTGTGCGATGCTGTGAACGGTGCAGGACCTCATGATGCCGGGGCTGGACGGGCTGCAGCTGCTGCGAATCCTCCGCGCCGACTCCAATTACAACGCCATCCCCATCATCAGTACGTGCGCGCACGCCTCGTTCGATGCAGCGTTGAGTGTGCCACACGCTGTCTCACGCCGTCGCACACTGCTGACAGCTTAACGTATCGTGGGTGCGGGTCGATGTTTGTGAGACGTGGCTCGGATTTCCCGCTTGTATGTTCTGTACTGTACGTGTTGGCGTGTGTCGGCGTGCATTACATGTGACTGTGTATCTGACACGTGTTTCTCTGTATCTGATGTGTAATTCTGACTTTGCTGACGTGGCAGTGATGTCAGGCAACTCCAACCAGGCGACGGTGCTACAGTGCATAGCGGCGGGCGCGGAGGAGTATCTGGTGAAGCCGGTGACCAAGCGTGACGTCACGCACATGTGGCAGCACGTGTGGCGCCGCATCCAGCTCGTCTCCAACGCGCCCGAGAGCCTTCAGGTGCCCCCTGCATTCTGCGCACTGCACACTACCCCCTGCACATTGCGCCCTTCACACTGCACACTGCGCGCTGCTCGCTGCACACTGCATATTGCCCTCTGCACACTGCACGCTGCGCGCTGCACCTGCGGACTGCGCACATGTCCCGCGACACAGTATACATCCAAAGGAGCAGTGGGTTCGACGCAGTGATAAGCGGCAGCAATGCTGGGCAGAATTGGCATGTGTTTGAGACGCCTAACCAACAGAGCCTCACCCCTCTTCATCCCTCGCTTTTCGCCCGCTTCCCCGCTTGGCCCTTGCAGAATAGCGGCAACCTGGCGGAGCACTCAGGCGCAGGCGCATCCTCCTGTCCCGACGGGTCGTTCAACCCCAGCGCGGGCGCCAATCCGCTGCTCTCCCTGCGCTCCTCCTCTGGCATGCACAACCCCCACTCCTCCTTCGACGAGGCCGCCGGCAACACACTCCCTGCCAGCGCTGCTGCTGCCGCCGCCGCCGCCGCTGCTGCCGCGCAGGGAGGCGCTGCTGGCATGGGAACAGCCAGTCGCGGGTACAGGCAGGGTCAGAGTCACGGTTATGGGTATGGGTATGGGATGGGAGGCACGAGTACGCTCCCCACGCACTCATCTGCTGACACCCGCGGCACCTGCTCGTTCTCCAGCGGCAGTGGCCCCCTAGCTGCTCTACCGCTCCACCCCCACCATCCCCACCAGCCCCAGCCGCCACACCAACCACACCAGCCACACCAGCCATTGGGCGTGGCCCGTGGGTTTGCCAGCGCTAGGGGAGATGAGACGATGGGTGTGTTGGGAAGCATGGGGCAGCGGGAGGGGTCGGTGGCGGAAGTGGCGCTGACGGGGGGTTCCGGGGAGCTGTGGGGCGGCGGAGGGGGCACGGAGATCTGGACTGGGTCGGTGGATGGCTGGCAGGCCGTGGGAGACGAGCGAGAGGAGCAGCAAGAGCATCAGCAGCAGGAGGAGGAGGAACAGCAGGTTCAGATGCAGCAGTACCAGCAGCAGCAGCAGTACCAGCAGCAACAGCGCCAGCAGCTGCAGCACCAGATGCAACAGCAGCAGCAGCAGCAGCAGCAGCCGCAGCAGCCCATGCTGCAGGAGTCGCAGCCACCAACGCCACCGCTGCCGCAGCAGCATGAGCCAGTGGGGTGTCGGAGGCAGGCTTGGCATCAGCGGCAGCAGCAGTGGCAGCGGCGGGGTGGCAAAAAGGCAGCAGACACGGGCCAGGGGCAGGAAGGGCAGCGTTGGGTTGGGAGAGACGCGAAGCAGACTCAAAAAGGGGCTGATGAAGGGTGTGAACGAGAGCAGCAGCAGCACCAGCAGCAGTTGCTGCCGCCGCCGCCTCCGCCGCTGCAGCAGCAGCATGCGAAGGAGCATGCAGTGAGGGAGAAGCGAGGAGGAGGCGAGCTGATGCTGCCAGGGGAGCAGGAGAAGTGGGAGGTGGAGCAGGAGCAGCAGCGGCAGCAGCTGCTAGCACAATACCTGCGGTCGGGGGGGCAGAACGTGCAGGCATTCATCGCCCACATGGACCACACAGGCGCGTGCGGAGCCGGAGGCGGAGCAGTGGGGGAAGGCGGAGGTGCAGGCGCAGGCGCAGGCGGGGGAGAGGGAGGCGGAGGCGGAGGCGGAGTTGGGGGCGGAGGTGGTGCTGTTGGCGCTGGTACCGCGTCGTCAGGCAGTGGGGGGGACATTCACGAGTGGGTGGCCCGCCTGGAGCAGATGCCTGAGCTGCAGGAGCAGGGCGACAGTGGCGACGGCGGGGACAAGTCGCCTGAGAGCGGAGCAGCAGCACGTGGGGGTGCGGTGGAGCGCAGAGAGGAGGCTGGTAGGGGCGGGAATGGGTCGGAGGGAAGGAATTCTCGGGGTAGGCAGCTGGGGAGAAGCGCAGGGCCGGATGGGAGCCCGGGGCAGTCGAAGCTCTCAGGGAAGCGAAGCAGCAGCAGTGGTGGTGGTGGCAGCGGTGGGAGTGGCGGCGGCAGTAGGGGTGGCTGTGGGGCCGGCAGTGGGGCCGGCAGTGGGGGCAATGGTCTCAAAAGAGGCGGCGCAGGGAAGGGGAAGAGCGGGTGGGGCTTTCTGTCGGGTCCCAAGGCAGCAGCCTTGAAGAGGCAGCGGCTGGGAAGCCCAGAGGGCGATGGGAGGCGGGCGGGGAGCACAAGTGGCAGCACAGGCCAGGCAGGTGGCTCTGGGAAGGGAGGCGGTACAGGCTTGGGAAGTGGCTTGGGACGTGCGAGCAGGTTCGGGAATGGCGGTGGCGGTGGCTCGGGCTTGGAGGGCGGTGGGTCTGGAATGGCGGGCAGCTCGGGAATGGGAGGTGGTTCGGGGCTGGTTGGTGGTAGTGCTTTAGGGTTAGTTGGTGGTAGCAGTAGGGGGAGTGAGAAGGGTGATAGGGGCGAGCAGAGGGTTGATGCGGAGCGTGTAGGAGAGGCTGAGACGGCGTTCTGGTCTGAGCGGCGGAATGAGATGGAAGAGATGCGACGGCGGGAGATGCAAAGGGAGGGCATGCAGAGGGAGGAGATGCAAAGGCCGGCAAAGGGAGTGCAGGAAGGGCGCATAGCGGGACAGGAGGACGAGAAGCAGGAGGAGTGGATGGAGGGAGACGGGAGCTCTCACGGGGCGAATACGGCTGGAAGAGACTTTGTTTGGAGGACGTCCCACTCCGTTTCCCGAAGCAACAACAGCAACTTCTTGCCTCCCGCCGACGCCGCTCACCCGTCCATCTCACCTGCTGCTCCTCTCGCTCCTCCTCCTGACTGTGCTCCGTTCGTTTCCTTAGAAGCACAGCAATGGTGCGGAGCTGAAGCTGAAGTTGCTGTTGCTGCTGCTACCACCACCCCTCCCACCATGCCCCGTGCTCTGTCGGATCCCGAGCAGGCCCGCCCTGCCAGTGGCGGCAGTGAGAGCGACCTTCAAGGATGGGGCTCAGGAGATTTTTCAGGTGCTGCAGGTGCGGGTGGGAGAGGGCGCGGGGGGGCAGTAGGACGCGGTAGAGGGGGGGGGGAGGGGGGTGGGGTTTGTGGCGGGGCGAGGGGTGTGGGTGGGAGGGAGGGTTCAGGTGCTGAGGACGATGAGAGGGCGGCGGAAGGAGGTGTCTCTCTCTGAGCAGCTGATGCGGCAGCAGAGGGAGGCGGAGCAGAGGCGGAGCGGGGTGGGTGAGGGTCCGCAGGCAGGGGACCAGCAGCAACAGCAGCAGGAACAGGAGCAGGGGGAGGAGGGAGAAGTTTATCAGCGGGAGTTGCAGTTTCCCGGCTCTTCAACGCGTTCTCAGTCTCAGAGCCACAGTCGTTTAGGCTGGGAGGTGCAGCAGCAGCAGCAGCTGCACCAGCAGCAACAACAGCGATGCTACACGCAGCAGGGGCAGAAGAGTGGGGAGAGCCAAGGGCTAGGTCAGCAGCAGCAGGGGGGTCAGCGCATGCGGGTGCCAAGTGATGGGGATGAGGCTCCTGTGGTCAGTGCTGGTCCGCCCTCCTGGGTTGTGATCCAACGGAAAGGAGGAGGGGAGCTGAAACCTTTGTCGGTTATGACTGCTGCTGGAAGTGCTGGTGGTGCTGCTGCTGCCAGGGCAGATGGAAGGCGGGTGGATGGGCTGGGTGAGGAGCAATGGGGTGACGGCACGGGTGCTATGGGTGGTGGGAACGGGGAAGAGGGAAACGATGGTCCGATTGGGAGTGGTGCAGTAGGGAACGGCGCGGTTGGGAGCGGTGGCTGCATGGAGGTGGATGGGAAGGAGGAAGGGGAAGCAGGAGCTGGTTCGGGTTCGGGCGGTTGGACAAACGCTTCGTCAGGCTTGTGGGTGGAGAGCGGTAGTGCTAGTGCTGCTCTGACTGCCAGTGCTGCTCTTAGTGCTGGGACTGCGCTTACTGCTGGTGCTGGCGGTTCTGGTGGCGGTGGTGGGCGCATTGCACTGATGAGCTGCAGACGGCAGCGATCACTAGGGGGAGGTGAGGGGCGCGAGGAGGTGCATTGTGGCGGTGGTGGCGAGGTGGGCGAGAAGGAGGTGGGGAAGGATGGAGAGGAGGAGCAGGAGATCGAGGGAAACGAGGAGGAGACGAGGGAGGAGGAGAGGGGAATGAGGGGAATGGGGGGGGAGGGGGTTGCGGGGGTGCATGGGGAGGAGATGGAGAATGGAGGAGAGGGAGGAGGTGAAGAGGAGCGTGAGCTGAGAGAGGAGGGTGGTGTGCGTGAGGATGAGGCGCCAGGGGAAACAGAGGGGGATGAGGGGGAGCAGGCGGGGATGCTGGGCCTGAATCCGGGAGTGTCACGGGAAGCTGTTGCTGCTTGGATGAGGAGTCTGGGGATGAGTGGGTTAGAGGTGAACGGGTCTAGTGGTGTGGTTGACCCTCGTATGGTGGCGCTGCAAATGTTCATGCAGCAGCAGCAGATGCAGCAGCGGTTGATGATGCAGCGGCAGCAGCAGGAGTTGCAGCAGCGGGAGTTGCAGCAGCGGGAGTTGCAGCAGCAGGAGGAGCAGGAGACTGAAGTACAGGAGCTAGAGATGCGGGGGCAGCATCGAGGTAGTGAAGGGCAGCATGAACGCATGCCGGGGCAGCAGCAGATGATACTGGGTGCTGCAGCAGAGGAAGCAGAGATGCCGCAGCAGGGGTCAGATCGACAAGGGTTGGAATGGGAAGGAGGAAGAGGCGAGGAGCAGCAACTGCAAGCCCCGGCAGCGACTGTTGATGCGGAAGAGGGCGAAGGGGGAGAGGGAGTGGGCGGACCAGCGAGGGAGGGAGGAGGAGACGAAGATGAGGCGCAGAGGGAGTGGGAGCAGTGGCGGCTGTGGGTAGAGCAGCAAGGGCTACTGGAGGGAGGGGCACGGGAGGGAGGGCACGGGGAGGCGGTTGGAATGCAACAGCTGCTGCCGCAGGAGCAGGAGGAGGAGCAGGAGCAGGAGCAGGAGCAGGAGGAGGAGCAGGCGGCGCAGCAAGAATTGCAGCAGGGTTGGGGCTCGGGGCAAGAGGAGGGGCATGAGGAGGGGCAAGGGGAGGGGCAAGAAGAATTTCCGAGTGCGGAGCAGCAGGAGCTAGAGTGGATGAGAAGACAGCAGCAGGTAGAGGGTGTGACTTCCATGGGATGGGGAGAAGGTCAGGCGGAGCAGCAATGGGGTGTGGGGGAGGAACGGCAAGGTTTGGAGCTAGCAGCAGTGGGTATGGGAAGAGGAGGAGAAGGGGAGCAGGAGGGTGACGAAGCAGGGGCAGCGGATGTAGCAGCGGAAGTAGCAGCAGAGGTAGAAGGGGACGTGGCGGACGATTCACCTGAGGAGATGCAGATTCAGAATCTGAGGCAGCGGCTGCTGCAGCTGCAGCAAGAGAGGCTGCTGCGCATGCAGCGGCTACAGCTGCAGCTGCAGCAGCAGCAGCGCTGGCAGCTCGGGGAAGGAGAGGGCAGCGAGGGGGGGGCAGAGCAGGAAGGGGAAGGGGAGGAAATGGGAGTGGCGGCACTGCAGCAGGTTGGAGACTTGCAGCAAGGGAGATCGTTGCAGGAAATGAGGGCTTTGCAGCAAATGATGTTGATGCATGGTGAGGGCGAGGAGCATGGGATGGGGGATGAAGGGGCGGCTGTTGTCGAAGGTGGAGAAGAGATAGAGCAGGGAGAGGAGAGAGAAGAGGCAGGGAATAGAGGAGAGCAGGGAGAGGAGCAGGTAGAGGAGCAGGTAGAGGAGCAGATAGACGGCTCGCAGCAGCAGAGGGAACAGGAGACACAGGAAGAAACTGAAGGAGAGCAGATTGCAGCAGGTGAGAACGAGAGGAGGGATGGGGAAGAGGTAGCGGAAGTGGCGGAGGAAGGGGAGGAAAGGGGGGAGGGGGAGGGGGAGGAGGGGGAGGAGGGGGAGGATGAGGAGGCGAGGGAGGAGCGGAGGCGCAAGTGGGAGTTTTTCTTTCTGCGGCAGCGGCAGCAGCAGTTGTTTGAGTTCGAACAGTACCAGCTGCAGCAGCTTCTGGCCATGGAGCTCGCTGAGAAGGAGAAAGAGAAGCGGGAGAGGGAGGAGGGGCAGGAGAGGGAGGCGGAGGGAGTCGGGGAGGAAGAGAGGGAGGGAGGTGGGAGAGGAGACAGGGAGGGAGACGGGGAGAGAGGTCAGGAGGGAGAGGGTGAGGGTGAGAGGAATGGGGAGCAGGAGGGAGGGGAGGGAAGAGAACGGGAGGAGGAGCAGGAGAGGAGAGAAGCTGAGACGAGAGGTGAAATGGGAGCACAATCAGAGAGAAAGGAGGGAGAAGTGGAGGAAATGCGCGAGGAGGGGCAGGAGAGAGGAGGAGGGGAGGATGTGGAGTGCCCGAGACATGGGGGAGAGGAGGAAGAGAGCGGAGAGAGGGGAGAGAGGGGAGAGGGCAGTGTCGGAGTGGGAGATGAGGAGGACTTAGCGCATGTGGGCAGTGCCTCACAGGCTCACGGAGGCACCCCTGCTGCATCTGCGATGGACAGGGAGCAAGGAGAGGGGGAAGGGGAGCAGGGAGAAGGAGGGAGGGAGCAGGAGGAGGAGGAGGAGGAGGAGGAGTTGGTGGGAGGGGAACTAGGGCATGTGCTTAGGGGGGATGCTGCAGGCGCGGTTGCTGCAGCAGATGCCACGGCTGCTGCTTCTTCTCCTGCTGCTGCTGCTGCTGCTGCTGCTGCTGGTACGGTTGCCGAAGGGGTGGCTATGGAGGGAACTGAAGCTGCTTGGATGGCGGAGGAGAATTCAGAAGAAGGATCGATGGAGAGGTGGGGGTTTGAGTCTGATTTTGGCATGGAGTATGATTCTCACGAGGACGCCCCTAGAGGAGGTGGGAGTGGAAAGGGTGGCGATGGTGGGGCTGAAGGTGTTGGTGATGGTGGGGATGACGAAGATGTTGATGGTGGTGGTGCAGCCGGTGGGGACGCGGTAGCAGAGCAAGGGACGAGTGGAGAGGGTGGGGGCGAGGAGTGGCGGCTCGCGTTTGACTTGAATGAGGAGCAGCCGGGGGAAGGATGGGCGGATGGAGAGGGCGATGGCGCTGCTGGTGCTGATCACTGTGCTGCTGCTGACGAGCGTCAGGGTGAAGTCGGCTGTGTTTCTGCTGCTGTCGGTGTTGGCGCTGGTGCGGGTGATTACTGTGGTCCTGCTGCTGCCAAGCGTGAGGGTGAAATCGGCTGTTCTTCTGCCGTTGTTGCTGTTGGCGCTGGTACTGGTCATTGGGTTGCTTCCGAACCTCAGGATGAGAACGGTTATGGTTCCGCTGCTGACTATAACGCTTATGGTGTTGCTGCCCCTGCTGTTGCTGTTGCTGTTGCTGCAACTGCGGACGGGGTGCGTGACAAGCACGGTGGGGCAAGTGCGTGTGTTGCCGTAGCCAGTGGCAGCAAGGGGAGGCCAGGCGCGCACCTGCTGCTGCTAGACATGAATGCAGAGGCAGAGGAGGCAGACATGTGGCTTGGCGCAGAGGAGGCAGAGGAGGCAGCAGACATGGGCTTGGATCTGGGGCTGGGAGGAACGTGCGGGGCACAGCAGAGTCAACAGAGTCAACAGAGTCAACGGAGTGAAGGCGGTCTGGGTGGAGGAGAAGGCGGTGGGAGGGAGCAGGTGGGAGGAGGCATGGTTGGGTTGTCGCTGGGTCTTGAGTTGACCGCTCCAGAGACAGAAAAGTGGTTTGAGAAGGGGAGGATAGAGGTGGAGAAGCAGGAGAGGGTTTCAGGACCCCAGTCGCCAGCTCCCCACTCGTCAGAGCACCAGTCTTCAGGGCCTGATGCGTTGCTGATGGATCCTCCAGTGCCAGGAGCACGCTCTCGTGTGGTGAACTGGTTGACACAGCACCAACATCGGTGGCGAAGGCAGCAGGAGGAACAGCAAGTGAAGGAGGAGCAGGAGCAAGAAGGAAAGGAGCAGGAGCAGGAGCAAGAAGGAAAGGAGCAGGAGCAGGAGCAAGAAGGAAAGGAGCAGGAGCAGGAGCAAGAAGGAAAGGAGCAGGAGCAGGAGCAAGAAGGAAAGGAGCAGGAGCAGGAGGAACGGGAGCAGGAGCACCAGGGCAGGCACGTACGTGAGTTTGTTCCTGGATCGGCTCTTTCTTGCTGGCCACGGCCAGCAGAGGAACCAGCAATCGAAGCAGTAGTTGTCGAAGCAACGGCGACAGCAGCAGACACGGCAGTAGTCCTAGCAGCAAGAGCAGGAGGAGGAGGGGCGTCAGAAGCGACCAGCACTGCTCGCTGTCACTCTTGCTCTCATGTGCTCTCTCTCCGGCGCTTCCTCTCACTGTGTCACACGCAGCAGCAGCAGCACCAGCAGCGCGAGTGCGAACCTGTCACAACCACTGCCAGCGAGTGCCCTGCAATACCACCAGCTGTGCCAATCCAGCAGCAAGCAGTGTCTGTTTTCTGTGAGATAGCTCGGTTGGTGGCGACAGCCCATGCGAGCGGCGAGGCGCTAGGAGGAGATCAGCTGGTGCCATCTAGGGTTCGAGTCACGCTGGGCCCCCAGCACTGGCTGCTGCCCGCCTGCTGTGCTCCCACCGCTGCTGCTGGCTGCAGCAAGGAGGTGAAGCGTGAGAGGGAGGGAGAGGGTGTGATGGTGGAGGTGGAGGAGGAGGAGGAGAGGGGGTATTACGCAGCGCCAGAAGGTGGCTCAGGGAGTGGGAAGGCAGAAGGTGCTGGGGATGCAGAGAGGGAGAGGGAGAGGGAGAGGGAGATGACAGCGGATGTGTACCGGCTGGGGTTGTTGTTCTTTGAGGTGAGCCAGACCACCCTGAACTCCTTTCTACCGCTGTTTGCCCCTCTGTCTGTCGCTTTTCTTATGATCCGTCCATTCCTTCCTTATCCATGCCATTGTGGAATTCCGTGTCTCTCTGAATCTGTTCTGATTATGCACTCCCAACGTTTCCTACCTCCGCCGCCGCAGCTGACGTGTCACATGAGCGACCATTCGGAGCGCAGCAGTGCGATGGAGGACGTGAGGAGCCGGGTGCTGCCCACGGGATACCTCATGGCCTTCCCCACCGGTGCTGCCTTCTGCCTCTGCCTGCTGCACCCCGTGCCCTCCAGACGCCCGCCCATGAGGTATGTATGTGATTCTCTTGTCATTTGCTCTAAATTTCTCAAAAGCAGTGCCAATATAGCCTCGCTGCCTCTCTCCCTACTACACTACACCCCGTGCTCTCCAATCCGGACCCCTCTCCATGCGGCACCCAATTGACTTTGGTGGTGCCTCAAGAGTCATTTATGCAAATGCACGCACACATGCGTGCACATACTTGTGTTTGGATTGGATGTCTTTTGAGACGGTTCTGAAGTCACCCTGGTAGACTTTCACTGTTTCTAAACACGTAGAGCCCCTCTTCCCATCTCCCGTCCGCCATCCCTCTGCTCCTGCTCCTCAGGGACGTCCTCTCAAACAGCCTCTTTCTCCGCCTCGCTGCAGAAGCTTCTCCCGCAGCTTCCTCCCTACAGTGCGAGCTGTCCGTGTCGTTTTCACCCCTGCGAGCATTGGAAGCACAAGGGGACGCGGAGGGGCAGGAGGGGCAGGACGAGCAGGACGAGCATGAGGGGCAGGACGAGCAGGAGGAGCATGAGGGGCAGGAGGGGAAGGAGAGGCAGGAGGAGGAGCAGGAGGAGGAGCAGGAAAGGCAGGAGGAGCAGGAGAGGGAGCAGGAAAGGCAGGAGGAGCAGGAGAGGGAGCAGGAAAGGCAGGAGGAGCAGGAGAGGGAGCAGGAAAGGCAGGAGGGAGAGGAGACAGAGGAGGAAGAGGAGGGGCCGTGGCAGCGCAGGCCAGGCAAGGAGCCGATGGTTGAAGTGAGTGATGGGGACGATGATGGTCTTCATTGGATGAAGGATGACGGTGAAGTGGGTGATGAGGACGAGGAGTTGGATGGTGGGGGGCGTGGTGGAATGGGAGAGGAGGAGGAGGAGGATAAGAGAGAAGAGGTGGAGGCGGAGGAAGATAAGAGAGAAGAGGAGGAGGCGGAGGAAGATAAGAGAGAAGAGGTGGAGGCGGAGGAAGATAAGAGAGAAGAGGTGGAGGCGGAGGAAGATAAGAGAGAAGAGGAGGAGGCGGAGGAAGATAAGAGAGAAGAGGAGGAGGAGCGAGAGAATGGGCGGGCTGGGAGGGAGGGAGGAAAGGAGGGCGCTGCTGCTCGTTGCGGTTTGGTTGGGGAATGGAGTCGAGGCTATGCGTTTACTGGTAATCTTGAGTTTAGTAGAAAGCGAGAAAGGGTGCAGGAGATGGAAGAGAGGGAGGAAGAGGCTGGTGGTGGTGGGGAAGACGATGGGGAAGGTAGGCGTGGCAGAGAGGGAGAGGAGGAAGAGGAGGAAGAGGAGGACAAGGAGGAAGAGGAGGGAGGAGAGGAGGCAGTGGGGATGCGAGGGAGCAAGAGAGTTCGGTGTGAGGAGCAGACAGATGTGAGGCTGTCACAGGAGGAGCCTCTACGTGGTCATCCTGCTTCAATGCTGCAGGAGGAGCCTCTGGTGGAGTCACCTCAAGCGCTGACACAGGAGGAGGAGCTGAGTCCTGAAGCGCCTGAAACGCTCACAGAGGCGGAGTTCACGCCTGAAACGCTCACAGAGGCAGAGGACACTCCTGAAACGCTCACAGAGGCAGAGGTCACTCCTGAAACGCTCACAGAGGCGGAGTTGGCAGAGAGGGAGGAGGAGAACGAGGTGCTCCTGGATTTTCTCCTGAGGGTGCAGCAGGGGAAGGCTGAGACCTCCCAGCAAGTGGCTGCCAACCTGGATGGGCTCTCTGCTGACGTGGCAGAGGTTGCTGAGAGGAGGCAGCTGCTGTTGGCGCTCTCTCAGCCTATGAATGCGCGCCACGTCACCAACGCTGCTGCGGCCAGAGGAGCAGAAGCGGATGGTGCAGCAAAAGAGGCCGATGGGTCAGGTGCAAGGGCAGGGGCGAGGGGGGAAAGCGGGAGCGGTGGTGCGAGTGGTTGGAGGCACGGCCAAAGGCAGCGGATTGAGGAGGGTGCAGGGGGGATGCGTGAGGATGTAAGACCGGGAGGAGCGACACAGGCAGGGGGGGAATCAGAGTCACAGGGCATGAGGGAAAGAGGAGAGGAGTGCACCCGGCTTTGTCTTGGAGCAGGTCAAGGCAGGGGAGGAGGGGCAAGAGCTGAGGGAGAAAAGGGAGGCGAGGAAGGGTGTGGAGGCGAGGGGGGAAGGTGCAGAAGCCGTCAGGCTAAAACGTCCTGCTATAGCGCCAGGTCAGCCAGGTTGGAAAAGTCAACGAAGTCAACGAAAACAAGAGCTCCAGTTCCAGATACCTTACCAAAGAGCCCTCAGGTGCAGGGGAATGTAAGCAGGAAAATCCAGAGAAGTCAAAGGAGTCAAACCCAGTCAGGAGCTACAGTGCCCATGCGGTCTAGCTCGAGGGAGAGGGAGGGGGGGAGTGAGGGGGCGAGGGAGAGGGAAGAGGAGCGGAGGAGGCGGGTGGTGTATGAGAGGAGGCTGGGGGGGCGTTTGAACCGCATGCTGCAGCGCTTTGATCGGCTGGAAGAAGCTTACCTTGCCGTCCGTGCCCGCACAGGTGCTGCTGCTACAGATAACGCTACAGATACTGCTACAATTGCGGCTACGGACGCTGCTACAGCTGCTATTACTGCTGCTACAGGTGCTGGTGCCGTTTTGGCTGGTGCTGGTGTGCCTGGCAACCCCTCGTTGCCTTCGCCTGCCGCGGCTGTAGCTAGTGCTGGGGCAGCCGCATTCAGTGAGGATACAGCAGCAGCTGTTGCTGCTGGTGCTACACCCGTAGCTTCGATTGCTGCTGCTGCTGCTTCTGGCGCAGCACAGGCTGTAGCTCGTGCTGCTCCAGCAGAAGCAGGCGCTACAGCCGCAGAGGAAGCTTGGCAGAACCTTCCAGAGGCTGCCAAGGTGTGGCTGAGGCGGCAGTGGGCCATGGGGCCAGCGGGGGCGTTTATCCCTCCGCCTGGCGTTGGTGATTCACATGATCACTCACATGCACATGCACATGCACATGCCCACACACATGCACATGCCCATGCACATGCACATGCACATGCCCATGCACGTGTGCATGCGGACAGCAGCGAGCAGCAGCAGCAACAGCGGCCGCCTCTGCTTCAAGCCCAGGCTTCTGCGGAAGAAACCCATTCGGGAGGGTCGGAAGGTGCCGTTTCTTATTGGGCTGCGCGGGGAAGGGCAGCGTTGGGGGCAGGCGGAGGGGCAGGTGTGGGTGCAGGTGGAGTGGCAGGTGGTGGGGCTGAAGAGGGGGGAGCTGCAGGGAGGGATGGGGATGAGACGGAGGAGGGGCACATGCAAGAGGTGTGGGGGCGGCTGGGCTGTGTGCTTCAAACGGTGAGGACGCTGGGACAAGACGTGACTGTAAAGAAGGGTGTAGTGTCTGGTGCTGTTGCTGGTGGGGATAGTGGAAGTGGCAGTGCAAGGGATGGTGCCGTGGGTGGGGATGGTGTAGCGGGGAAGGTAGCAGGAGGTGCTGCCCTTGCTTCGCCTACACCCACTCCCACAGTGGCAGGAGCAGGTGCAGTGGTAGCTGGTGGGGTTGCTCGTTTGGACGCGAGTCTACGGGTATCATCTGCACACGGCGCTGCTGCTGCTTCTGGTGATGATGGTGGTGGTGGCGGCACTGGTGCTCCTGTGCCGGGTCCTGCCCCTGCGTCTCATTCCGAGCGGAAGCGCCACGCCAGCAGCATGGGAGGGGACGATGACAGAGAGGAGAAGCGGAGCAGCAAGCGGAGAGCGCTGCACGCGTATGGCAGCACCACCAGCGCCAGCAGCAGGGAGATGGTGGAACCGGTACTGAGCAGTGGAGCGAGGCAGGAGGGTGTTGGAGGCACAGGTGTGGGGCATGAGGGGATGACTTTTGAGGCGCCTCAAAAGGCGCGGCAGGAGGGTGTTGGAGGCACAGGTGTGGGGCATGAGGGGATGAGAAGGGGAGGACCTGCGGAGACCGGACGGTGGCATGGAGGGAAGCAGGGTGAGAGGAGCAGAACTTCTTTTGAGACTTGTCCGAAGCAGAGCGAGAGGAGAAGAACGCCCCCTGTGTGGGAACGCGCGGCAGCGGCAGCAGCGGCGCAGCAGCACAGCTGGCAGCAGCAGAGCTCGTCCGGTGGTGGGGGCAGCTGGGCCGGCGCTGCTGCTGGTGCCGCTGGTGGTGCTGGTGGTGCTGGTGGTGCTGGTGGTGGTGGTTTCGTGGTGGATAGCATGTTGAATGTGCCGACCACGACACGGGGCACGCATGGTACTCTTTTCTCTGTGGATACGGAGGGGCGGGTGGGAGGAGGAGGTCGGTTTGATGGTCGGGGTGAAGTGCTGGGAGCGGCAGAGCGCGTGAGGCACGGGATTTCTGAGCCTTCTCACCCCGTCCCTGCTGCTACGCTAGCTGAAGCTGATTCTGAGCCTGTGCTTGCTGCAAGGTTGCCGCAAGTAGTGTTGCCAAGTGAAGCAACAGCGCCAGCAGCACCATCACTGGCAGCACCAGCAGAGACCATAGCAGCTGCAGTAACTCCAGCAGCAGCAGCAGCAGCAGCAGCAGCAGAATTACCAGCACCAGCACCAGCACCAGCAGTAACAGCAGCAGCTACACCGGCAGCAGTACCTGCACCAGTCTGCACCCGCCCACCACAGCCCTGGCTGGGGCATTTCTTTGAAGGCCTCTCCCGCTACACCAGGTTCGGCAAGCTGCAGGTTCGGGCGGTGCTGCGCCGAGGCGACCTGCTTGGCTCGGCAAACATGGTGTGTTCGGTGGCTTTCGACCGGGACGGGGAGTTCTTTGCTTCGGCGGGCGTGTGCAAGCGCATCAAGGTGTTTGACTGTAACGCCGTGCTGCGTGCTGCTGCTGAGAGAGGGGCACGGGTGAAGGAGGTGAGGGATGGGATGGAGGTGGACGAGGAGGAGGGGGGTCGGGAGGGAGGAGAAGCAGGTGGACCGGGGATAGGGGAGGGGTTTGGAAGGGGGAGAGGCGGAGGAGTGCGGGGAGGGGAAGGGGGGCAGGCAAGGCAAGAGGAGGGGCATGAGGAGGAGCTGTTGCAGTACCCGGTGGCAGAGATGGCGGGTGACTCGAAGCTGAGCTGTGTGAGCTGGAACCCCTTTGTCAAGAGCCTCGTCGCCTCCTCCAACTATGATGGCGCCGTGCAGGTGAGCACAGGGAGGGGTGCATTCGACTTGCATGGGATGGGATGACATGGGATGGCTTGGCATGGCTTGCCATGGCTTGGCATGGGATGCATTTGCATGGCAAGGCATGGATAATTGTCAGCCAGCTCATGCATTGAGAATTCCCATCGCCTTTGTCTCCTCTCTTCAATCCACGGGTGTGGAATGTGGAACGTGTGTTCCGGTGGGGTGATTGCAGCACGAGACGCGTGTGTGGAGTGTGCGCACGAGTGGGGTGATTGCAGGTACAAGAAAAGCAATCACCCCATCGCGTGTGGAGTGTATCTATGGCTATTCTTGTATCTATTCCCTATCTCAACGCACAGTCCCTGCTGCTCCATCTCTTCCTGTGTGTCTTTCAGGTGTGGGACGTGTGTGCGGGCGAGGCGATAGCGGAGTACAGGGAGCATGAGAGGCGCGTGTGGAGTGTGCACTGTGCTTGTGACTCTTCCATAACTTGACTCACATTCTCGCTCCTGCTCCATCTCTTCCTGTGTGTCTTTCAGGTGTGGGACGTGTGTGCGGGCGAGGCGATAGCGGAGTACAGGGAGCATGAGAGGCGCGTGTGGAGTGTGCACTGTGCTTGTGACTCTTCCATAACTTGACTCACATTCTCGCTCCTGCTCCATCTCTTCCTGTGTGTCTTTCAGGTGTGGGACGTGTGTGCGGGCGAGGCTATAGCGGAGTACAGGGAGCATGAGAGGCGCGTGTGGAGTGTGCACTGTGCGCCCACCGACCCCACCAAGCTCGCCAGTGGCAGCGACGACGGCTGCGTGCGCATCTGGAGCCTGCAGCAGGTACACACGCACCCCAGCCACACACATCTGAAGCAGGTACAGCGAGCCTGCATTGGGTATAGCAAGCTAGCCACTTATACACACCTGCAGCAGGTACAGCGAGCGAGCTATTGACATTTGCAGCCTTCTTATTTCTCCTAGTTTCCCCCCCCCCCCCCCTCCCCCTCCCCCTCCCCCTCCAACCAAAACAGGACTCCAGCGTGACAACCATCCGCACGCGGGCCAATGTGTGTGCGGTGCACTTCTCCCCCGCCTCATCGCACATCCTCGCGCTCGGCTCGGCCGACTTCAAGCTCGCCCTCTACGACCTCCGCAAGCCGCGCTCGCCCCTCGCCACGCTCCCCGGCCACTCCCGCGCCGTCTCCTACGTCGCCTTTGCCGACCCGCTCACGCTTGTCTCAGCTTCCACGGATAACACGCTGCGCGTGTGGGACTTGAGGGACGTGCTGGGGAGTGCTGGGGATGGCGTTGGTGGTGCGGTGATGGGGCAGCAGCAGCAGAGGGGCATGGCGCCGTGTGTGCTGACTCTCTCGGGCCATGTGAATGAGAAGGTGAGAATGGGGCGGGGGAAGGGACGAGAAGGGGCATGGGAAGGGTTAGGCGGGATTGTGAAGGCGCCGTACGGACCCGCTCACGCTTGTCTCAGCGTCCACGGATAACACGCTGCGCGTGTGGGATTTGAGGGAGGTTCTGGGGAGTGCTGGGGATGGTTCAGTGATGGGACTGCAGCAGCAGCAGCAGCAGCAGCAGCAGCGGCAGCAGCGGCATCCGGGGCAGGGGGGCGTGGCGCCGTGTGTGCTGACGCTCTCTGGACATGTGAATGAGAAGGTGAGCGATGGGTGGGGAACGGGGGACGGGGAACGGGACGAGAAGGGGCATGGGAAGGGCTTGGCGGGAGTGAGAAAGAAAAAGGGAGGAGGGGATTGATTGGGTTGGAGAGTGGGTAACGTGGGAGCGAAACTGATTTATATTCTGCAAAGTGCTGAGCTTTGTTGCTCTCTTCCTTTCCTCCTCGGCCACTGCACTCGTTTCTTCTGTTTCTCCTCCGCCCTCCCGTGTCTATTTTCCCTAACTTGTTTTCCAGTCCACGCATCCTCTCGCCCTACCCTGAGGCATCCTACCTTCCTGGATTCTCACCAACCCCCCTCTCTCTCCCTTTGTGCCCTCGTCCTGTGTGTTTGGTGCACCTACTCTCTCTTTTTTCTTTCCTCGGCAGAACTTTGTTGGGCTGTCTGTGTCCGAATCGGGGTACATTGCATGCGGCTCCGAGAACAACTCGGTGAGTGGCTGTGCAGTGCTGTGCTGTGCGGTGCTGCACAGTCGCGATTCGCAAGTGTTGTGCTTGCAAAGACTACACTTGCAAACGTAGCGTGTGCTGGCGTATTGACCTCCCATTTCTCCTCCTCCCCTTCCTCCCCTTCTTTCCTCCAGGCATATGTATACCATAGGAGTGTGCCGGCCCCCATCACATGCCACCGCTTCGGTGCTGTGGATGCAGTGACAGGGCGGGCAGGGGGGGAGGACGCAGGGCACTTTGTGAGCAGCGTGTGCTGGCGCAAGGGCACTCACTCCCTTGTGGCGGCGAATTCTATGGGCGATGTGAAGGTGCTCGAGATGATGGAGTGAGGAGGGTGAGGGATGGGAGACAGATGCGGAGGGGAAGGAAAGAAGTGTGCGGAGGGGAGAGGGCGAGTGTGGGAGGGGGTTTTGATGGGCGATGTGAAGGTGCCGCAAGCTGACTCGTAAAAAGGAGCATGAGGAGCATGACTGCAACCTGTTGTGGAGGCAGTATCGCTCTGCTTTTACATACCTATGACCCACACCTACATCCCAGCCCCTGCAGCCTACCACCAGTACCGTATGAAGGCGCCTCAGAATATCCTTTTTGCACTGCAGCCCACCGTGTGCTTTGTTTTGAGGCGCCTCAAAACAAGACTCAAAACAAGGCAGCCCACTGTGTGCTGGCTGCAACGATGCGGTGCAGTGTGGTGGGGTGAGTGGACGCTGACAACAAACCAACCCCTTTGAGAATTCTCAAAACCAACGAACGTGTGAAGTGAATTGTCTCCTCCCAATTTTGTTCAAATTGCTGTTTTTTCGCTTACAAGATCTGTACAGCTGCTAGGTACGAGTGTGGTATCAGAACCAGCGTCGACAGCATATTTGTTATAACCACCTTTCTGGTATCGTTGGTCGCTTTACATGTAAATTTGATTATATATTCTTTCCTTGTGCTCGTTACTTCTACCTACAACTGTGTCAGAATGAGGAATGAGTGTTGCATTGATGTTGGTTGGGGTACATATGACAAACCCTAACTTCTGTACCCCCTAAGACAAACCTCACTACAGGCTACAACATTTGACACACCCCCATAGCCTAAGTGAGGGGTGTCTAGCAAAAACAAAAAGAGTACGGTCACAAGACCAGTCCAAAAGAAAACAAAGCTCAGGGTGGATCACAACGTCACCACACACTCTGAGCACAAGCAACAGTGGCCACAAGGCCAGTCCAAGAGATCACAAGTATATATAGTAAATGTACAGACGAAGCAGGCAATAAACTCAAGTCTACGCATGACTAGAACCTGTGTCAACAAGGCCTAACTGCACACAACACCTCTGGTGGTCACAAGGCGGAAGCGCCTTGGTGAAGATGTCTGCAGTGTTGGCCTCGGACTCTACGAACTCGAAGCGAGCCTGTCCACGCCTCTGCAACTCTCGCAGAAGAAAGTACCTGATGTGAATGTGCTTCACTCTGCTCTCCAGTCGCGGCTCACGACAGAGGAGGATCGACGCCTTGTTGTCAGTAAACAAGGTCGGTGCAGAGCTCGGCCGCTCACCAAGGTCAGTGAGCAAGAAGGTCAACCACCGCAACTCCTGTGCCGCCATGGCACCAGCGTAAATCTCAGCCTCAGCTGTAGAGGTCGAGACAGAAGAGGAGCGCGTGGAACGCCAGGAAACAGCTCCAGAACCCAGACTGAAACAGTACCCCTGAGTAGACCTGTGAGTCTCAGCGTCGTCAGCGTAAGAGGAGTCACAGTGACCAGTAAGTACGACAGACTGCTGCCCTCCAAGAACTAGCCCCACGCCTGATGTAGTCGCTAGGTACTTCGCCACCCTCACAGCTGCCGTCCAGTGAACAGGACGGTGTCTCCCTGGCGCAACAAAGCGCGCAAGGATGCTGAGAGGGAAGGCGAGGTCCGGGCGAGTACAAGTCATCAGGTACATGAGGCAACCCACAAGCTCTGCGTAGGGACCACTAGGCTCAAACGGCTCGTCAGGAAAGGGACCAGTGAGTCTGTGGTCAACAGCTAGAGGTGTGCGCTGTACGGTGGAGTGCTGAAGCCCGAACCGCTGAAGGACCTGCTGCACCATGTGTGACTGTGAGAGTGTAATGGTGCGAGCGGCTCTGTCCCTGGTGATCTGCAGGCCAAGGTAGTGGCGCAGTTCACCAAGATCAGTGCACGTGTGTCTCTTCTGCAGTTCGGACTTCACGTCTGCCAAAGCAACCCTGTCCGGAGTGGCGAAAACGAGGTCGTCGACGTAAACCAGAACAAAGAACGGTGTGGAGCCACGACGAACGAACAGCGACGGGTCGGCAGAAGACGGCTGGAACCCAAGGTCAGAGAGGGTAGAACGCAGAGTGTCGTGCCACTCACGAGGGGCCTGGCGAAGACCGTAAACAGGTCGTCTCAGCCTCCACTGGGTCCCAGGAGGGAAGGTGCCAGTGAAGGCCGAGGGACGACGCAACCAGACCTCCTCGTGTAGGCTGCCCTGAAGGAAAGCAGTGGAGAAGTCAAGAGAGTGTAACTCGTAGTCTCTCTGTGCTGCTACGTGTAGTAACACCCGAAGAGTGGTCATCTTCGGGGTAGGTGCGAAGGTCTGAAAGAAGTCAACTCCCTCGCGCTGACTGAAACCTCTAGCCACGTAGCGCGCCTTGAAGACCGGGGGAGATCCCGGTGGCCGCTTCACCCTGTAGATCCACATGCCGTCGACTACGTTCGCCCCAGGGGGGGGAACCTCATCGACGTAGGTGCCTGTGGATCTGTAGGAGGCCATCTCTGCGTCCATGGCAGCTCTCCACTGAGAGGCCCAAGGCCCTGACACTGCCTCAGCGTAAGTGCGAGGAGTCGGAATGTCAAGGGCGTCGGGGTCACCCTCAGGGGCGAGGAGCATGGCACAGAGATGAGGGGAAGCGGCCGCCAGGAACTCTAGCTCAAACTGCCTGTCCTCTAGGGCGTCACAGCCAAGGGCAGACACACCCCCGACGGCCAGAGGACTGGTAGGAGGAGCAGCCACAAGCGTGGTGGCGTAGTCAAGGCGGCGGGTAGAGGCAAAGTCAGTAACTGCGGCAGTAAGAGCGGACACAGAGGACACAGAGGCACGAGGGTGAGTAACAAGAGAGGCGAGAACACGAGAGAGAACAGGACGGTACGTGCGGTAGTAGTCAGTGACAGGAGTAGGGAGCGACACAGTGAGGGCCGACTCAGGAGGAGACGGAAGCACAGACTGAGACGGACGAGGTGGACTAGAAAGAAGGAAGGCAGTACGAAGGTCAGTGAAGGGAACAGGAGACGAGGGACGAGCACGAGGGGAGCGACGAGTAGCCCAAGAACGAGACGGAGGAGAAGAGGACAAGGGCGGAGAACTGGGGAAAACAGCGGGGGAGGAGTCAGGAGGAGGAAACGTGGGACCGTAGACAGGAGGAGAGGCGGAGGAGGGAGGAGAAGGGGAGGGGAGACCAAGGATCCGAAGACCCGAGACAGGAGGAGGAAGTGGCTGCTGCTGCTGCGGCTGCGACTGCTGCTGCTGCGGACGCGGCTGCTGCTGGGACTGCTGCTCCTGCGGGTCCAGCTGCTGCTGCTGCTCCTCCAGCCGCTGTAACTCCCTCTCCTCTCTCTCCAATGCCAGCTGATCGTCACGGGCACGGCGAACACGAGCCTGGTGCCTAGTCGGGTAGGGGTGGGGGGGCGGAGTAGTGTCCGAAGCAGCGGCAGCTCCAGAGTCCACTCCAGAAGAACTAGGCTCACCACCCCCAGAGGCAGCACTAACACCAGCTCCAGACCCAGGCTCACCTGAACCCAAAGGAGGCGCACCCTCACCCCCAGACGCAGCACCCCCAGTGTCCGCGCGGCCAGCACCAGCTCCCGGACGACAAGCGTCCTCTGCACCCACCTGGTCAGCTCCAACTCCAGAACCAGAAACTCCAGCTCCAACCCCAGCTCCAACTCCAGCACCCCCAGAACCAGAAACTCCAGTGCCAACTCCAGCTCCAACTCCAGCTCCAACTCCAGCTCCAACTCCAGCACCCCCAGAACCAGAAACCGGTACAGGAACAGGCGTCGCACCAACCTCTCGAGAGCTAGCACCAGCGGCACGCTGCGAGGAGGACTGTGGGGAGGGAGGCTGTACCGGAGGGGCTACCGAAGGAGGAGGGGTAGCCTGGGACACACCTGACGGGGCTGGACCAGGGGGGGGAGGCTGTACCGGGGGAGCAGGAGGGGGAACGGCAGTCAGGAAGAGGGGGGGAGGAGGAACCGGGAGACCTCGACTGGGGTACCTGACGTAGTACGGAGTGGACTCCTCGAAACGGACGTCACGGGAGTCAAAGAACCGGTGAGAGGGAGGGTGGTAAAAGGTGAAGTCAGAGGAGTCCTCAGGGAAACCAAGGAAGACACAGGGGACGGCACGAGGCGAGAGCTTGTCCGCGGAGGTGTCGCGGACAAGAGCCAAGCACCCCCAGACACGAAACCGCGACGCAACACCAGGGAACCCTGTCCAAAGACTGGTCGGTGAAACCTCTGGTCGAGAGACACGTGGCCAGAGGTTCAGCTGGTGCGCGGCGTACCTGACCGCGTAGGGCCACAGAAAATGGGGGGCACAGGCGTGAGTCAGGGAGGTGCGGGCGATCTCCATGACCAGGCCTATGCGGCGCTCAGCAACCCCATTCTGCTGTGGGGACTCTGGAAGCGTCCAGGACTGACGAATGCCCTGCTCGCGACAGAATCCAGCGAGAATGCCGGAGCGAAACTCACCCCCACGGTCGGAGTGGAGACAGCTGACACGACGACCACGAGTGTCCTCGGTGGTGAGCAACCACCTGATCAGCGTAGAAGTCACCTCAGACTTCTTCGCCAGAGGGAACACTGTGGTGTAGCGGGAGAAGTCGTCAACGACCACCAGAAAGTAACGCTCACGCTCAGGGCCTAGACGAGGGGCGGGGCCCCAGACGTCCAAGTGAAGCGTCTCAAAAGGCTCGGTGGCCGGACGAAGGGAGGAGGAGTGAGGGGTGGCGCGCAGCCTACCCTCGACGCAGGGACGACACGGCGGCGCAGGCGAAGGCGGCAGCGACGGCAAGACACGTGGGAGGCCTAGGACAAGACGCTGACTAGACATAGCGCGCAGACGTGGAAGGGACGGGTGCCCCATCCGGTGGTGCCACAGAACGGTGGGGTGGGCAAGCGACCGGCAGGAGCACGACGCAGCGACTGGAACAGACGGAGGAACCTGACACGACACAGACACCTGGGGGGACGTAGCAACCTGGTGAGACGCGGGGACCCGAACGGGGGGGGGGAACCGGGGGCAGTGGCAGTAGGGGGGGCTGCTGGTGCGGCCGCTGGT